ATAATCAATGAAGCATACAAGTTTAATTTAAATTCACCTCATAAATCAAGTATGTGTTCCAATTTGTCAGTTGAGCTCATTAATTAAGTTTGACACCAATATACTTAAACTTAATAAATACTCAAACTCAACTAAGACTGGAAAGCGTCTAATTTAAACATGAGTTTTAAGCAACTCCGTTCGATTCATCTAGGTAGGTTGAACGGGATGGAATAAATAGGTGGAATATTCCCCGTCGGAGGTGTTGAGCGACAGAAACAAGAAGAATGGCAATTTCGTAACTTCATCCTGATTAAAATGCGCATTTAGGTAGTTGGTGAGGGTGTACCGTCGCAGAGCCGGAAAAGGATAGCCAGGCAGAGACAATGGAGGCCGTAGCCGTGTTACCGTCATCGTGCGCCACTTCCTACTTCGAGCGCTCGCCGGTAACAATCCACAACAAAACCCGCAGCTGCTTTTCCTCCACCTCATGTGGCAGACTCAACCGTCGCGCCTCCACCAGCCACCTAGCAGCATTCACCAAACACTCCCTTCTTTTCTCCAAATTCTCAATACGTCCTCCTCCTGCAAAATCCCACGCCCGCCGCTCCGCCAATGGCATCTTCCTTCCTCACTTGGTCGCCTCCATGGTCTGTTTCACCTCTTTTTTCTTTTTTTGTTTTTACTTTTTTTTTTTTAGAAAAATGTTGGTACTTGTACAAATACTTGCTTCCATAAACTTTTTCTATGAATTGTAGAGAAGTTGAATGGCTATGAATTATTATAATTTGATGTTGTTTGTTTTCATTTCTCTTGGCATTGTAAGTTGAAAGAGGAACTGTCCAAGGAGAATTCTTTTTATCTTTCATTTTTTTTTTCCCTTCAATTTTGATTCAGGAACAAGTTGAAGAGACTTACATTATGGTGAAACCTGACGGTGTTCAGCGCGGCCTTGTAAGTTTTACCATGATTTATTAGATGTTAGTTCTCCATTTGGTTTTTCAAAATATAAATGTTGAGAATTGTAATTATGAACTGAGAAATATAGGACATTTACATTCAGTATGATACAAGAATACCCATTACTTCAGTTCCCATTTTTATTGGAGCATTTTTCGATGCAATTGTGGAAAGAGGATTGAATTCTGAAGAAACTGTTCTTTTTTCTTTATAAATGTTATAGGTTGGTGAAATTATTTCTAGGTTTGAGAAGAAGGGTTTTAGACTGACTGGCTTGAAGCTCTTTCAATGCCCCAAGGAATTGGCTGAGGTTTGTTATCTTAGCTATCACTCTAAGAACCCATATCACTCTAAGAACTATCTACTTTCTTAGTTGCTAGAAGTTGCCATTGTACGTTGTGAAGCATAATTGAAACTATGATGAGCATTAACAAAGTGAGTTGCTCTTTTTGTTCAATAAGAAACTACAAGAAACCCCTTTTTTTTTAAAAAAAAAAATGCTCAAAAGGTCACCACCATGGTCAGCTTGTTATGACACTCCATGAATTCACTTACTAAGAAATGACGCTTATTTCTATGTTTTCCTTTGACTCAATCAAGTGGGAGGCCAAGGTTCTTTATTCAATTTGAGAGTCTTGTTTGGGAATTATGATGATTTTATGCATGTCTAGTATAGTGATAGGTAAGCATGGGTTTTATGTTTTCTTCTGAAGGTTTAAATGTTGACTTGTATTTGCAGGAGCATTATAAAGACCTCAAGACCAAGTCATTTTTCCCAAAACTGATTAACTATATTACTTCAGGTCCTGTTGTGTGTATGGTATGGTTCACATTAACATTCTCTAGAACCATATTTTAAGTTTTCAGTTGTTTTGACTAAACTGATTGTGATGTTATGTTAATCAAGGCTTGGGAGGGTGTTGGTGCTGTGGCATCTGCACGTAAGCTGATAGGATCAACAAATCCTCTTCAAGCTGAACCTGGCACAATAAGAGGGGATCTAGCAGTTCAAACAGGAAGGTTAGGCTCTTTTGGATCCTTTAATTGTGCATCTTCATTGTCCTGATGGTAACTGATTTTTCAGTGTAGGAAGTCTGATTATGGGTGTTTTTGGCAGGAATGTGGTCCATGGTAGTGACAGCCCTGAAAATGGCAAGCGTGAAATTGGTGAGACCCTTGGTGTAATCGATAAAGCTTTTCTCATGAATGCTCTTTTAAAGTTTTAGGTTTAACTTCAAATGTCTTTACTGTACATAATACATGACAGATGATATGAGATCAACTTAATTTTGTCCTCAGAAACCCCATTCTGTTACATTTCAACTTGCATGTCATGCAGTAGCCCCTTTGTTTTTCCAAAATATCCATTGTATAACACCATGAAAGACTATTCGGCAAAGTGTACAATTTTTCCCATGCTCTGAAAAGGTAAAAAGGACATAGTGCATTTGTTATTGTTCGTTATTGGTTATTCTTTTGACTCTGATGGCGACCATAGATGAAAAGCTAGTGGGGAAACGTTAAACCATATGGTTAATAATTGAGGAATAGTGAGAAATTCATGGTTCAATATTTTATCATTTTTCTCCTTGCTGGATCTTTGCTTTAATATTGGTCCCATCTTTGCTTCACATGATCCGTCATATATGGCATGCTTGTTGAAAGATAATGGTCTACCTAATAATTTTGTAGACAAGGTTTCATACATGTTTTTCTGCTGAGTAATTCAATGCTCATTAAGGACATTGTCAGACAATTTAAAGTAAGCCAATTTTGAAATATGAATTTTCCAGTAGGACCAATACATTGAGTTATGAATTTTCTCTCAACATGTGTCTTGCATATTTGATGAAAGTGTTAATGCATAAGCAGAGGGAACCTAAAGTTGAACAACATTTACAATGTTAGACCTTATATGTCCTCTCAGCCTGTACTGTAACCTTAATAATTTCTCCCTTCCTCCCAAATCCCATATTTCATCCTGTCTTTGTTCTGATAATTTGTTTCCTGTACAGCGCTTTGGTTCAAGGAAGGTGAATTATGTCAGTGGACGGCAGTTCAAGCTCCATGGTTGAGGGAGTAATCTTTTTCAGTTCTTTTCCAACCATGCTATTAACCTGCCATCACAATGTCAGTATAATTCATATGTGAGTTATACAATTCAAGAAGAGTCGTGAAATTACAATTTTCAGCTTAACTTTGAAAGAGAAATGGAAGAATAAAAATTCTTTGGTTGCTAAAAAAAAAAACTCTTTTTGGTCTATGTTGCCGAATTTAAAATGTTACCTCAGAATTGACTCCAGATATTTGGTCCTAATGAGATTGAGAAGCTGTCTTTGGAACAATCCGACCTTGCCTGTGCTTGCTTGGCCTGACCAAACATTAGTTTTTTGAATTCTTGAAAGAGTTGCCCTGTTTTGTCATTAGGATTGCACTGGACAGGATCCATTGGATGGAGGGGAACAGCTGTAATATCTAGAGGCCTACTACCGTTCATTGATTTAAATTATGCAGTCTGATATAATTTGGATTGCAAAACACTATTTTTTTTTCCTTGAAAAGTGGTTTCAATTTTTGATTTTTCTAAAAGAACATTAGAAGCTAAAGCTATAAACCTTTTAAGGAAATTGCAACTACCAAAGTAGAACACTCAACTGTTAAGAATCTGAATTTGATAACTCATATCAATTTCTAAAGGTTTTCTATAATTATTTTATATGAAATTTGTTATAAAATAATAGATCCGAGTTACAATGATCATTGTCATGAATCATTGAATGAAGTGGATCATTGAATTAAACAAGTAGAAAAGTGAGGAAGATGGAAGGTGAAACATCACCATTCAGCAGTTTCATTTTGATGGTAAATTAAATCTATGATTTTGGAGCATTCTTTGACAGCTTTGGTGGTAAGGCTAAAATTGGATCAACCAGAGTTACTTGAAAAATACTTCCAGCTTTTCTGAAACAAGGTTATAAGCTCAAGCTATTTTCTTATAACTAACTATTAAAGTTCAGCTTTTGATAATTCTAATTATATGAGATCATGAATCTAACAGTGAAACAAATGGCCTAATTAAATGTTATGTGGCTAATCACAAAGTCTGATTTTTCATGGTAAATCAAATGTCACTTGTAATCAAGAATTTTAAATGAAAGCCGATAAAAAAAAATAAAATAAAATACAACAGATCATGGAAAGAGCAGGAAAGCCTCAAATTAGGCAAAGAATTCTATCCCGGCTGCCAATTATGCTAATTCTGTCGAATTTTTGTGCGAATGCTTTGATACCCTTCTAATAAATGCCTAACTTTTCAATTATACATGTAACCAATCCCGATAAATTCCCAACCTTACTCCTCCAATGTGGCTGAACTTCTGGTGAAATGCTAAGCTGGTTACACATTGAACTCAATATTGAAGGCCCTTTCATCTTCACTGCTTCAGTTTTTTCTCGGCCAACTTCACTTCTTCAGTTCAAGCTCCCAGAATCCTGAATAATTCCAGCAAAACTTAGCATAAGATCAAGGTAAAATTAAAAAATTAAGCGATATTGTTTGCATCCTTCCGTCTCAAGAGCACAACTTGATCATGTATCTGGTTAACAGGGAAAGAACTAATGGATTCCAATTCCTCCCGCCCTTTTGTGGTGCTCAAAGATTGACTGC